CTTTAATGTATTGATGAATGAAAAATAGTCTCCCAAACTAAACGCACACATAAAGCTCAGAATGATGCTACTATGATGATATCGGGCGATCTGAAGGATGGTGCTTTTCATTTCACTGAAAATGGTAAATGGTCACATTTTTATACAGCGCTTTTTCACCTTCAAGGTTCAAAGAGCTTTACCTCAAGAAACCACTCACCCATTCACACACACACGCACACACACACGCACACACACACGTACACACACACACACACACACACACGCACACGCACACTCACACACTCACACGCACTCACACACACTCACGCACACACACACACGCACTCACACGCACTCACACACACACGCACGCACACACGCACTCACACACGCACACACACACGCACGCACTCACACGCACTCACACACACGCACTCACACACACACACACACACACTCACTCACACACACACACTCACACACACACACTCACACACACTCACACACTCACACACCCACACACACACACCCACGCACACACACCCACGCACACACGCACACTCACACACTCACTCACACACACGCACACACACACACTCACACACACTCACACACACGCACACACGCACACACACACAACACACATTCACACACACACTCACAGACACACGCACACACACACACGCACTCACACGCACTCACACACTCACACACACGCACACACACACACACATTCACACACACACTCACAGACACACGCACACACGCACTCACACGCACACACACACTCACTCACACACACACTCACACACACACTCACTCACACACACACTCACACACACACTCACACACACACACACACACTCACACACACACTCACACACACACTCACACACACACACTCACTCTCACACTCACTCTCACACACACACACACACACACAATCAGTGTACACAGACACTGAGGGCGAGGGGGGGTTAAGTGTCTTGCTCAAGGACACAACAACAGCATTCATCTGCGGCAGCTGGAATCACACTGCCAACCTGTGGGTCAGTGGATCTGATGCTCAAGCACTGATGTTTATGTCAAGAGCAGGATTTGAACCGCCAACCTTCAGAGCTGCTGTCTCCCAAAAGAAGAAATTACACCTTTTTTCCTGCAGCGACTGGAAACTGCTCGAGACGACATGACTTTTTTGTTTTCAAAGGATGTAGGAAAAGTAAAAAATAATACTTTTCGACACTGGAACAATATACAGTATGTATCAGATCATGCTCCTGTGCAAACAGAACTCAGCCGGAGTAAAAAGAAGACAGTGAACATTTGGAAGTTTCATCATCTCTACTGACAGACGTGAATTAAAAGTAAAAGAGCAGTAATTAAAGATTATACAGAGCTAAATACTGACAAAGTAAATGTTGATAAAGAGATTGAACAAAATGAAATGATTTACAAACATTCCAAAAATACCTTTCTTGAAGAGACTAAAAGAAAAATGAATGCTATTTGAAATCTTGAAGTACAAGAGGAGACTTTGATTTGATAATGGATCAATTATCGTCCAGTTCACAATTTGACCCTTACAATTATATATTTTTTGATTGAATACTTTTGCTTTTTGGAACTCTGGCTTCTCAAAAAACTCCCCAGATTTAAACCTTTAAACCTTCTGTCCAAATGTAAAAACACAAAGGGAAAAATCAGACGCCATGAGTGTGTGGTCTTGGTCTTGTGGCAATTCCGTCTTTGAGATCTTGTGACATGAGATCTTGTCCCATCCTTTAGCGCATTTCTAACTATTACTGATGATTGCCATAGAAATGAAATAGAGATACAAAGATCATATTTAAGACATTGTAAAAATTACTGAGGTGAGATAAATAAAAAGCATTATTAGGGGTGTGCAATATGAATGGATGTTTAGTGGATTATAATTACAACGATGAATGATGTGTTCAAATGTGTCTGTTAGTGCCTTGGAGGAGGATCAGGCAACTCACAAAACAAGAATGTCCCAGAACACTAACCACACTGGATTTTTAATGTGCTCTCTGCTGTCTGATGTCATTTTTATGGTTTTAATCACAGACAATGAGGGTGTGAGAAAAAATGGATTCAGTGAGATACATATACATTTACACTTCACTGTACAATTCTCATATACATGTCTCCATTTTTTTTAATATTATATTTTTCATCATAAATGAATTGGTTACATTTACAGTTTTCTACATTTAAAAAATCTTCTGTATTTCAGACAGCACAATATATATCCTGTTCTGACATACTGTTTCATGACATATCCTGATAACGTATCATGTGGCTAAATTCATGTAAATGCACACCCCTAATAACAGGGATATAACAATAACCGAAATATTGTGATATCATATCGTCAAAAGTCTCACAATAATATCGTGGACCATCACAAAAGGTTGAATTACAAGTCTTTTAGTTTAAATGAATAGTTATAGTGCAGCAATATAGAAAAAAAAAAAAAGAAAAAAAAAAAATCTACATAGACCATGATCCTTTGTTCCGTTCTTAATCTTAATTCTTTACCAAAGAACCAAAGTCTGGTCAAGGGTCAAGTGTTTACATTTGGATTGGACAAAAAAGGGTTACTCGTTCATAAGTTACATCTCTTACATCTCTCGTTCTGAAAAGTAGCACTAGGATGGAAACAAAAATATGAAATCAAATTTTTTTAAATGTGAGGCCAAAATTGGGGAATAAAATGTGAAATGTCTGTATTATTATTAGGAATTGTGTTAAAATCTAATCTTTTCTCATTCTTGTGGATCCAATGTCTAATATTTGGGTTTAGATTTAGAAATTGTTGAAGCCTCTCTACGGATCATAACAATGACAGGCTGCAAAAAAACACAAAAACATTCCCAACGTGTGCAAAGAAGAACACAGAAAACATTGAGCTCCATATAATATTGTGCAATTCTAGAAAAACCTAGCGGCAAACAGCGTAACGTCCACATGAGGAGCAAGTACAGCGTGGAGGTCAAATCCACTCGACCACACAACACACTTTGCTGTAATAGTTGCTGTAATGTGAAAAGTCGTCTACTTTGTTCAAATGCACTACAGGTTCTCAGTGACCTGACACAATGACAGCAGAACATACATTATAATGAGAAGAGGCTTGTCACAATTTCTTGGCCTGGGGCAACAAATATTCCATGAGTCTCCTGTAAAATGTAACAACACTACTACTCAAAATGACAACACACAACATCTGTTTTTGTAAGGCTCAGCAGTCTAATATGAAAGACATTTTGAGAAAAACAATTAAAAAAAAAAAAAAAGAGAAAGATTTGTACAAACATTTTCCAGGTGGTTTGCATAAGCTGGATCGATGGCATAGCAGGTATTAAAGGGCTCATGTTTCACTATTTTCTGATCTATGTTTTAATGTAGTTTCCTCATCACAAACACTCCTGGAGTTGTGTTCGTTTCATTCACACAAACTCTGCATATTTAGGTTGAGCTCTTTCCTCAAACAGAAAACACTCTGTTCCAACTTGTGATGTCATGTGGTGATACAGCACTGTGTTTTTAAAGTCCACACACCTTCACTAGAATCATTTTGGATCGTTTGACCTCTGGAATTGCCAGTCTCTTGAACTAAAGGGAAAAGGAGCTGGTCATTTGAATACAACCACTTCATGACATCACAGGGTGGAATTGAGCATTTTGAGCTTTGGAGATGTAGACAGACTAATAATAAAGAATTACTCAAAAATGTGTGAATGAAACAAAACACAACTGCAGGTCTGTTTTTAGAAGGTATCAAAATCTTTTGTCTCACAACCTCGTGTACCTTGAGAAATACATTTGTATCACAATATTTTTCTATCTTTTATTTTTACGTCCATATAGATTTATATAATAATGCCTTATTTGAGACCAGTTTTTTGCTATTTTTGCTTCTTATTTTAAATGTATTATTACCGTTTATACGTTTTCTCTTTGTTATTATATTATATCGTGATGTGTGAGCCACTGTGTCCAAGTCATTTCCCTTGTGGGTCAATAAATTTTATCCAAGTCTAACATTATAACACGGCTTAAACCTCACGAGACATATTTTTTGCAATAAATAATAATGAATAAAGATAACAAGCTGAAACCGGCCCATTGAAATATATTATAACAAGGTAATAAGTGACAGATGCAAATACATAAACAAACCGTGTCCAAAGAAAACGAGACAACAAGCGCCTCCCATGTGTACAGTGGTGTGTACAGTGGTGTGTTCAGGGGCCGCGCGAGTGTCTGACAGATCCACACTGTCCACACGAGACACCAGACTCTGAAAAGGCACCATCAATGACCCACTGTCCCCTAATGGGCGCACGATTGGCATAAAAACAACAAACCATGCCACTTGTGTTGCGCTAGCTTTGCCTGGCACTGCCCATCCTAACAAGCAACAACCAGCGCCACACATGCCAACTTGTAACTCAAAAAAATGACCGCACACACACCAGACACAGACTCGTGAAGATGAACCCAAACAAACACCGGCGCTGCTGCTGCTGCTGCTGCTGCTGCTGCTGGAAATGCTCGTTGTTATCGGTGAATTAAGCGCTCGATCCGCTCCCCGCCTCCTCCCTCCCGCCACACAGCTGTTGAGCAAACTTTACGCACGGGAATGACACCTGAAATCTTTGACGGAGTTTGCTTCAAATTGCACCACAAGATCGAAACATGTCTGTACGAGTAAAGCCCGTGCAGCGATGATTACTGGAGAGGTTTGGAGCTGCTGGAGGCGATGGGGATTTTGACAGGCAGCGTAGAGCCGAGCACAGCACAGCGGGGCTACTCCACAACACGACAGCACCGTAGGCGAAACCCCACATGTGCGCCGTGCCAGAGGGCGTGTGGAATTTCTTCGTAAAAATCCCCGGTTAAAGTAAGAGGTTACGTGCACATTACGCAGCCGTAGTACTGTTTCGGTTTCCACACACTTCCTAGCTCCCAGCGGTTTTCCTGGAACTTACCTTGGAGAAGCGATCAAACGAGTTGGAAACGCGTCCAGTCCCGATATCGATAGAAGAAGAAGAAGTCCTCCAAATATATAATGTCCAAATGGTAAAGTCCGTGCGCAAGTTTACGTTTCATTCACGTGGTAATAGGAGAGGAACCCGGGAAGGCACTGGACCGAATCAAAACGAACTGCGTGCGATTTGAAACGGCGAACGAGCAAGACGGGCAACTCCTCCAACAAAAGAGTCCGTGGCGGTGCTTAGCCGATCTATCAGGGACTTTCTCCACGCCCAGGTGCCTGGCGAGTCACATGGTCCAGAAAATCCAGGTGTGTGCGCGCGCGTGCGTCTCCGGGAAGCAGTTGGCGGCAAGAACACACCTGTGGGATCCGCTCGTTCACGCGCTCACCTCCTCGACTCGGCTGTCATCGCGATTTGTAACGAGAGAGAGAGAGAGAGAGAGAGAGAGAGAGAGAGAGAGAGAGAGAGAGGGAGGGAGAGAGAGAGAGAGAGGGAGGGAGAGAGGGAGAGGAGGAGCGTAAACCACTCAGAGCCTGGGAGGGAAGAGAAGAGCGAGGGATGGGGGAGAGGAGGGAGGCTGTGCCCGCTGCTGCCGTGAGCTCGAGCCGGAGAATCCAGAGGCGAGACCGGCCGCGCGCGAACGAACAAACGCCACGCCTTCCGCTTCCAGACACAAGGCGGCGGCAGAGAGACGGCACAGGACAAGCAGACAGAACAGCCAGCGGGGGCCACTACTCCCTACATTTACTACAGCAACGTTTTGTACAAGTAGTATTTTTTAACGTAGAGTTTATTGTTTCATATTAGAACAAAACAAACAATGATACAGAACAAATGCAGAACACATCCACTTTTCTCAGCAATCCTCCCATTTGACTTGTAATTGTAATTATACTGTTATCAGTGTTGGGAGAGTTACTTTTAAAATGTATTCCCCTACAGATTACAGATTACACACACCAAAATGTAGTTTGTAACATAATCCATTAATTTAATTAAAGTGAGTAACGTAATCTGAATACTTTGGATTACTTGATTTGCTGTAGAGAAGCAAAGACGAGGAAATCTTCACATAAGATGTTTTGTCTGTTAAAAGAAAATAAAAAGCCGAGACTTTACTTAACCAAATTAAAAATATTATTGATAGAAGACGAGGAGACACGGTCTACGTGGCATGGTCTTGTTAAATCCTGTTTTAGACCTGGTTTAGTCCTGGTTTAGTTCTGGTTTAGACCTGGTTTAGTCCCGGTTTAGTTCTGGTTTAGACCTGGTTTTAGACCTGGTTTAGTCCTGGTTTAGTCCTGGTTTAGTCCCGGTTTAGTCCTGTTAAATCCTGTTTTAGACCTGGTTTAGTCCTGGTTTAGTTCTGGTTTAGACCTGGTTTTAGACCTGGTTTAGTCCTGGTTTAGTCCTGGTTTAGACATGGTTTAGTCCCGGTTTAGTCCTGTTAAATCCTGTTTTAGACCTGGTTTAGTCCTGGTTTAGTTTTGGTTTAGACCTGGTTTTAGACCTGGTTTAGTCCTGGTTTAGACCTAGTTTAGACCTGGTTTAGTCCCAGTTTAGTCCTGTTAAATCCTGTTTTAGACCTGTTTTAGTCCTGGTTTAGTGTCCGGCAATGAGTGGAATTATGGAAAAAAAAAAAAAGGGGGATACAGCCCAAAATGGAAAAACAGGAAAATACCGCAGTGTAATCCATTTATTTTAACAAAGTAACTGTAATCCAATTACCACTCACTGAAACAGTAACTGTAACTGAATACAGTTACTCATCATTTGTACTCTGATTACGTAACTCCGGTACATGTAATCTGTTACTCCCCAACACTGACTGTTATAATATAGATAATAGGTTTCTCCAGATGTGAGATTCTTCAGCAGTGTCCCTCCAGATGATAACAGTTTACCTGTGATGTTTTTTTTAAGATGCCAAAACATTTTATTTATCAAATTGTGGTGTTTTTTTGTTTGCCTTTCCCTGTTATCAGAGTACTTTTCTGATCCCATACTTTTATTTCTTCTTAAAGGTACAGTAGCCTATGTCACTTCTGGAGCGAGGTAAGATAATGCCATACTGTGGAACATTATAACATCTCCATAGAAACAAGCAGGAAGAGGCCCTCCTCCAAGCCAAAAAAAAAAAAAGTATTTGTGGAAATACAAGCCCACTCACACATGTTTTTACCTTTTTCCAGTGATTATGTAAGTGCAGTATTTATTTATTTATTTATTTATTCATTTATTTGTTTATTTGCAAAAAGTTACAGTGGTTTTAAAGGAGCTCTATGTTGTTAACTTTCTGGTGGCGCTTCCTCTGCCCGTCTCCATGGTTACATGATTTGAACACTTGCACTTAACTGGATGTTAACTTCTCATAACTCAAATTTGAAATAGATTTTATGTCTAAACTATTATTCAGTTCTCAAGAAGCAGTGTGTGTACTGTTTCATTTTCACTTTAGCACTACTTTATTACTTATACTTTTATTTCTAATTCAGTCACTGTGCCCAGTACTCGACCCCTCTGAGGACACAGAGTGTGGAGAGCAGAGAGCAAGTCGTGTTCTCTGTCCAGGCTCATGTCTCAAAGTAGAATCATATAACGGACAGAGAGAGAAAGACAGAGGGAACAACAAAAAGAGAGAGAGCCAGAGAAAGAGACAGTGAGAGAGAGAGACAGTAAGGCGGGGGAGGGAGCAGTGGTTCCAAAGTGTGGTCCAGAATCCACAGGGAATTTTGGATGAGGTTTGGGGTCACCACTAAAGTAAACAGTGTTTTTCTATAGTGCAGATATGAGGAAGTGCACAGCTTTAGGCCTCTAACTGTAGCTGTAGTTGTAGTTGTAGTTGTAGCTGTCGTATTCAGAGAGATTTGAGGGAGATGTTCTCTTTTATTGGTTAATTGGGAAAAAAGTGCTGCTTACATAACATACATAACTGTGCTGTGAATAAGTATTTAGCCCCTTACAGATTTCTTACTTTTTTTGCACCTTTGTCACTCTTAGCCATTTCAGATCAAGCAAACTTAACAAAGGTCACTCACAAGTCAACACAAAATGCCGTTTTAAGTGCTGATTTTATTTATTAAGGGAAAAAAGCCATCTGGACCTACATGGCCCATCTGAAAAAGTAATTGCCCCTTAAACCTAAGAACTGGTTGAACCTCCCTGAGCAGCAACATCTGCACCTACTGTAAGTATTTGAGATAACAGCCAATGAGTCTTTCACATCGCTGTGGAGGAATTTTGGCCCACTCTTCTTTGCAGAATTGTTTTAATTCAGCCATATTGGAGGGTTTCCGAGCCTGAACTGCCTTTTTAAGGTCACAGCATCTCAGTTGGGTTCAGGCCTGGACTTTGACTACGCCGCACCAAAACCCTCATTTTGTTTTTTCATTCATTCAGAAGTGGACTTGCTGGTGTGGTTTGGATCATTGTCCTGCTGTAGAACCTGAGTGTGCTTTAGTTTGAAGCCAAGAACTTATGGCCGGGCATTTTCCTTCAGGATTTGTTGGTGGAGCAAAGTGGATGGTTCCTTCAATCACAGCAGATCATCCAGGTCCTGAAGCAGGAAAACCCCAAACCATGATACCACCCCCACCATGTTTCACTGTTGGCATCATGTTCTTTTTATCAAATGCTGTGAAGCGCCTTTTTAACACGATGCATTGTTCCAAAAACTTCAACTTTTCTTTCATTTGTCCACACAGTATTTTCCCCAAAGCTTTGGGATCATCAAGATGTCTTTTGGTAAAAGTGAGACAAACCTTCATGTTCTTTTTGTGAGCAGTGGCTTTGGCCTTGGAACTCTGTGTTCCGTGTGTGCCATTTTTGTCTCGTCTCTTTCTTATGGTTGAGTCATGAACACTGACCTTTACTGAGGCAAGTGAGTGTTTGGATGTTGTTCGGGTTTCTTTGTGAGCTCTTGGATCAGTCGTTGCTCTGCTCTTGGGGTCATGTTTGTAGACCGGCCACTCCTGGGAAGGTTCACCACTGTACCATGCTTTCTCCATTTGTGGTTAATGTTTCTCACTTCTTGGTTTTCGGGAGTCCCAAAGATTTAGAAATGGCTTTGTTTCCTTTTCCTTTATTTTTCTTCTTATCTGCTCCTGAATTTCTTTGGATGGCGTCATGATGTCTTGGGTTCAATATGGCCTCCTTCACCTGTCAGACAGGTTCTATTTCAACGATCTCTTGATTTGAAAAGTCTGGCAGCATCAGACCTGGGTGTGATAATTCTGTTAGGACACCCACCTCACTGGATAAATATACGTTTAAAGTACGAGTATGTATAAGTATACGTTTTGATCATTCTCTTATTATTTCAAGATAATAAAGGTGTTTCCTTTTTATCTGTCAAATCATAATCTCTTCGTACAATCGAGGAGTACTGCATGGTTGCTAGGGAACAGATGTAGAAATCCCTAGCGTCATTTCCAATCAGGAAGTAAAATTTGAATCCTAAAAAATTGCCAAACTGGGAAAAGAGAGGTAACATTTTTAACTAAATCTTAAATACAATGGTCTTAATTGTGTTTCAATCAGATGAGTAGCCCGACCTGTCATATAGTCTTTAATGCCACACTGTGAAACATTCCAGTTTTATGTATTTGGGGAAATACATTTAAGACTAATACAATAACAGACTTCACCTTGCACAAAGGCAATAAGAGCAATCACATTATCAACTTATAATGAACCAACCAGTGCATTATTTATAACCCTTCAAACGCTGACATTTTACGATTTAGTCGACCTTTACACATTGAAAATTATGTTCAAAGTCAAAATCTCTTGTCAAAATCGTTACAGAATATGTTTAAAATCTGAAATAGCCGATGTGAGCTCAGAGGTATGATTTAAAAAAGAAAATCAGAACAAACATTGTGACGTTGTAGTGAGCAAACTTAGAACTAAACATAACTCAAATAATCACATTTGGGCACCGTGAGGATGTGGTTTATGAACAACCCCTGACTCTCCTGCCCCCGCCTCTCCTGCCCCTGCATCTCCTGCCCCCACCTCTCCTGCCCCTGCTTCTCCTGCCCCTGACTCTTCTGCCTCTGACTCTCCTGCCCCCACCTCTCCTGCCCCTGCATCTCCTGCCCCCGCCCCTCCTGCCCCTGCTTCTCCTGCCCCTGACTCTTCTGCCTCTGACTCTCCTGCCCCTGCCTCTCCTGCCCCTGCCTCTCCTGCCCCTGACTTTCCTGCTCCTGATTTCCTGCCCCTGCCCCTGCCTCTCCTGCCCCTGCCTCTCCTGCCCCTGACTTTCCTGCTCCTGACTCTCCTGCCCCTGCCTCTCCTGCCCCTGCCCCTCCTGAACCTGACTCTCCTGCCCCTGCCTCTCTTGCCCCTGACTCTCCTGCTCCTGACTCTCCTGCCCCTGCCCCTCCTGCCCCTGCCTCTTCTGC